GGGAAAGAAGATTATTGATTTTTCAGCGAAAATCGCTTGTAATTTGACACCCGATGACGTCATCATGACGTCAGAGTAATATGCACCACTTAGGACAAGGGTCGATATATGTTGAAAGTTACAAGTTCATACCATATACCGTTTAGGAGAAAACCCGCGGAAACTTACTGTCCGGAAAAAAGAAAGAAAGAAAGAACTAGAGGTACGCGTTTGTTGTTACAAATGCAGAGTGGTCGGGTAGACAACTATTTCATTATACATGTACATTGTCCAGTTAAGTCATGAACAAGTTTATGTCAGAAAACAGATCAAGAACTTTAACATTTCCAGTACCAATTATTTTGTACAAAAAGAATGGGTCTTTTAGGGTATGATAAATGTCATTAAACCATTGCTATGACGTCACACTATTGTTAAAAGTGTGGATTCGGAACTACGAATCTGTTACGCTGGTCACAAAGTGTGGATTCGGAATGAAGAATCTTTAGTAAAGTGTGGATTCGGAATTACGAATCCACACTTTGAACACGTCAGACAATTGTTCTCTATAATGAGCATTAATAGGACCGTATGCTTGAAAATTTCCTTCCGAAATTACCAATGCATCTTCCCTGTCAGATTCTCCGCCGTCACTGCAAAACCTACTTCGAGTCAGAAAGAAATCATCGTCTGAACTATCAATTTGTCGACGGAAGGAGCCGCGACAAATGTTGCAAACTGACGCCACTTTTTTCTCCATATATCATCTCAATGAAGGGCATTCATTGCAAAAATGATGATAAGACATGAATCTGGGACTGAGAAATATTTCCAATTTTGTTAGGAAATACTTTTAAAAAAATCTTGACTCTCCATATACTTGTACACGATCGCGGAAGTGGCGTCAGGTTGCAACATTTATCCCAAGTCTTTTCATCTCCACTCACTGTTAATGCCAATACTTCTTTTGACGCAATGGTTTAAGTCGAAGAATACACTCGCAAGTGTGGATTCTTAATTTACGAATTCACTCGGCGCTTCGCGCCTCGTGAATTCTTAAATTACGAATCCACACTTACTCGTGTATTCTCCTTAACGTAAACATTTAGGTACAAGTACAGAATATATTTGTCCGTAGTAAAATGCTTCCGTTGTCGAGTTAGATTCAATTTCTATTGTACTTCCGGTAACACCAGAAGTGGAGGTCAAGCGGTTTTGCAACTGAGAATAAGAAATGTTGTGCAAGGCACCGTCTACAACTTCACGAAAAACGAACACGATACTCCATTTCGTTAAAAAGATATTATAGCTCAAACTATTTTGTCAAATTGTGCCTTTAAATCGCTCATAATTTGATACCTGATGACGTCATGATGACGTAACAAAATTGTTAACGCCTTCGTAACACGTACAAGTTCACACTAGGTTTTATGATCATCCCGTAAACCGTTCGGAAGAAATTTTGCTTTGTTTTGATTTCAGGCTACTGTCTTCATTTTGAACGCCTATGCTGCTGTAGTGTAAACTTATCAAATACAATCGTTAAGAAAAACCCATTAAATAGCTCATATCTCTAAAAGTAAAGGTCGCACACCATTGGTGCAATACAAATTACCGTTCGTCATACCCTCTTAAGCCAAATGTTTTTAGAAAAAGCGCCCAATTTAAAAAAGCGCCCAATTGGACACTATTGCCAGCCCAACCTTAGAGCCTCATAGTATGACGTCATCAAAAGTCACAAATGTGCTTCCGTTAACAAGTTGTGATACGTGTACAAAACACTGGTTAACACTTGGAACACATTGGTCCATCAAACAGCCGTTACATGTGGCTCAATAGTTAACATGAAACAGTCGTAAAACCAGACACTCAGGAGGCGAGCACACGGGAAATTGGCTTTTGTACGCATCCCCATTTGCTGTAGTGAATACTGATTTAGTACGTGTGGATAAATGTTCACTGTGAAGATAAATAACGTATGGAAATATGGAAAATATATGTGTATTATGTATTAATAATGCCTAACTTCCGCTTTGATGACATCATGGTATTTGGAAGCAAAGATCAACTTGTAATGGGTATCTTTATTTCGGCTACGAAGATATACGACAAGGATCAAAAGAATATGAATTAATAAAGTTAAAATATGGTCAATTGCAAATTCTCATAGAAGTAACTTCCTGTCTGATGACGTCATGAATTTGCAACCTTGCCAAGTTATTTGTGGTTAATCAAAGAACATCAAAGGGCGATTTTGGTAAAATTTGAAAGGATGGTTTTCAAATTAAAGCAAGCAAACACTGTTTTATGTGCCTCTAGGGGGCGCCCTTTCAAAAAATGACGTCATTACACTGTTTTTGTGTCTGGCATTCCTCACTAAACACTATCATAATATTTATATGTGTGTAGTAAAAAGCATCCGGTTTTGAATTATATTCGGTTTTCATTGCACTTCCAGTAACACCGGAAGTGAAGGTCAAGCGGTTGTGTGTCCGGGGACAAGAAATGTTTCTCATGGCATAGTCTACAACCTCGCAAAAAAACAAACACGATACTCTATTTAAAGATATGGTGCAAACTATTTTGTCAAAATTTGCCCTTAAATCACTTGTAATTTGATACCTTATGACGTCATGATGACGTAACAAAAGATATAATATCTCTGTAACATGGTACAAGTTCACACTACGTTTGTGGATCATACCATAAACCGTTTGGAAGAAATTCTGCTTTGTTTTGATTTCCAGGCTAAAGTCTTCATTTTGAATTCACCTAACTTTGACCTTCCGGTAGACCCGGAAGTAAAGGTCAAGCGAATTCACGTTCACGACAAAAAATGTTTATCAATTCATGGTCTATCTGATTACAGATTACACAAACTAATGATTATTTTGTTCAAGAGCTATAGGTGAAAGTTATTGGTCGCTTTTTCAGCTAAAATCGCTTGTAATTTGACACCCGATGACGTAATCATGACGTCAGAGTAATATGCACCACTTCGGATGAGGGTCGATATATTGAAAGTTACAAGTTCATACCATGAACCGTTTAGGAGAAAAGCCACGGAGAAGTATTGTCCGGAAAAAAATAATAAAGATTTATCAGAACAATAACAGAGAGTGGTCGGGTTGTGCCCGACCACTCAAAGAAAGAAAGAAAGAAGATTAATCGTAACAACTCCAATCAGTGGTCGGGTTGTGCCCGACCACTTAACAAGTCAGGTGTGTTGACAAACACAAATGCCCTGCAACCGTGACCTGCAACCGTGCATTTCTTTGCTTTTCTGATGGGAAGTCTTTGTATGTGATTTAAAAGAGTGAGTGAATGTGAAGAGATCCTGTACAAACAAGCTTTTTCGCAACAGCTCTCATTGAGTGGTCGGGCACAACCCGACCACTCTTTGAGTTGTTGCGATTAATCTTTCTTTCTTTCTTTTTTTTCCGTACAGCATGTTTCCGCGGGTTTTCTCCTTAACGGTTTATGATACGAACTTGTAACTTTCAATATATATTGACCCTCATCCTAAGTGGTGCATATTACTCTGACGTCATCGGGTGAGGTTGTAGACAGTGCCTTGAGCAACATTTCTTATTCCCGAGCACAAACAATGCTTGACCTTTACATAACTTAACTGGACAATGTCTAATGAAATAGTTGTCTACCCGACCACTCTGCGTTTGCAGCAATAACAAACGCAAACCTCTAGTTGGTTTTGATTTGGTTCCTGTCCTCGATTCACAGATGATGTTGCACGTACGTGTCCTCGATTTACATGTACATCATAAACAAACGCACCCACCCACCCACACACACACCCACCCAGTCGTGTTCATACCGTCGATCGTGGACGTCCTATTGTCCCTCTTTTGTTTGTACTAACTTTTTAGGAAGACTCCCATAGGTTTTGTACATGACCCCAATTGCGGTTTGAATAGATGAACATGCCCATCCACCCACGGAAAGACAAGGCAGAAATAGTATGCCCCTTCAGCTTAGCCGCGGGGCATAAAAATCTGATTTAAATCAAATAAATCAGATTTAAAAAAAAAATCGCCAACCCTGTCCACTATTGACCAAGTCCGCCGTGGCGGAGCGACCGTACCCCGAGAGAATGTCTATTTTGTTCTCGCCATGGGTGGGATTACTCGTGGTAGTCCTGAGGCTAAGTCATTAGGTAATATCTGGCCACCCTTCACCCGTTTAGGACTAAATGTTTAGAACACATACACCCACACACCCACGTGTGTAAATGCCAGCAATCGTGGACGCCCCATTGTCCCTAATCCTCTTTCCTTTGTTTGTACTCTAACTTTTTAGCGACAGCTCTCATTGGTTTTGTACACGATTTGAGATCGTGGACGTTCGGTTAACCGTGGACGTATTGTTTGCGCCTCAATTCTTTTGTCCTATGTGCATGATTGCCGGTGTTTACATACTCACGCACACACACACCCACCCACCCACCCACCCACGGAAGGACAAGGCGGAAACAGTATGCCCCTTCGGCGAACATAAAAACTTGAAGAAGTGATGAAAACTCAACAGAATAGTTTTCTAAGAAAACTAATACTTAGCTACGTTGAATTGGATAGACTAAAAATACATGTCTATCTCGCCTGCGTCGCAAAGAGAAAAGAGACAGATTCAATATGGCGGCGATGCCACATGGCATCATAGGCGGGCGCCAAGAGGCGCATTATTGTGCGATTAAACACTTAGCGAATTGGCCTGCCAGCAAAAGGGTAATATATGCAAATGTAGTTGCTATTTGGTTAAGATGAACAAAGTAGACTACCGGTATGTATCCTTGATTCTCTTGTGTTTAAACTGAGATATGATCTGTGATGACAACACAACAAGATGAACACCTTATGAAAATAGAAGACAGAGAAAAGAAGACAGAGGTATAACAAGTATTGTTTGTGGTCTAACCTCTGTTTCAGGCACCAATTTACGAATGAATGAATGAACAGATGGATGAAATGGCTATCAACATGTTGGTACATGTACATTTTACTTACAGTGAGATATTCTTGAGTATTGTCCCACTTCAATGTTGAAATGATGCTGATCATTTGGTGCAGCAAAAATCCAACCAGGCCAGTAGAGAAGCCAATCAGACCCATCATAACCCATCGATCCCATTCCAACCTAAAAGTACATGTGAGGTCAAATACATGTGAAACATTTTGGACAATATTCTGGACTTTAATGAGCCAATGTGATTGCTGTAATGTTGTCATCCAATGAGACCATGACTTTTGGTTAGATGACATAACAACAGCTGCTATCGGCAGTTTCTACAATTAACTCAGTCAACTCAGTCATAGGCCTGTGTAAATGTATACAATCCCAAGGGTTCAATGGCAGCTGTGTAGTCAAGAACATTATTTTCAATGCAAAGTGGGGCAGCTTCTTACAAAATGGTCAATAAATGCTGCTACATGTACATGTATGACAGATGCAGATCAGGTACCAAGTGCCAAAACCATTGAATAAAACTTTCTATCAAATCAAAATCAAAATATTGAGAGGCATTAAGAATGTGGACGACCTTCAGATCTGAATGTCAACAAATCACCAAGTTACATGCAATGCTTTCCAAGGTTAGTCTGTTCCAAGGTTAGTCAAAGTTAGTTAGTCTGTTCTGCACAATCAAGTTTGAGAACATTAGTGGTAGTGCATTTAGTTTATTTGCACTTAAATAATTTTAACAAGACAAGGCAATCCTCATAAGCCAGATTCATCTGATTTGCTTGCGTTACAGATCATCCTATTTCAAACTGTTGCGCTAAGGTAAGACTTAAACATGTCTAATTCACCAGAGTCAGTTAGTCATTGAGCCAGTCAGGTACAAATAGGTCCATTGAGTCACCCTGTATTGCATGGATTGTAGAGTCGGGCCAGATTGCACGTGCAAAGTAAAATTATTATGGCCACAGCTGTTTAAGACGGCGATTTCGACAAGTCGGATGAACAATTGAAAATTATCACCATTTCCAGATAAAATCATTGTTCCAAATAGATTGGCCTTGGTAAATGAGATTGCATTTATTGATAACGCTTGTTTGGAAGACTAGGGTTTACTTAAAATGTAGAATGAAATTTCTCGCAGGGGTAGGCTGGTTTCCGCCCAAAAATCAGTTTACAAAAGTTTAGATAGCATATGGACCAGAAACCAGTCTACTCGTATAAAAAAGCTCTTTTTTGTGGCCAAAAAAAAAAAAAAACAATTCTCCAAAGTGTTGCATACACTACATTAGTTTACCTTTTGGGCTGTTGTCTCAGCCAGTTTTCATATACATGGCTATGAGATGGAAGATAATCAGCACTCTCATAGCTGGCAAGGAGTTCTTTTTCCTGTTCCGTGTATTGGTGATTGACATAGCGACTCTCAAAATCTCGACCTTTGGCAAAAAATCCGCTCTGATCATCAGTTGGGTGAATCCCTTCAGTGTCATCAGCTGCTAGAACGGTAGTTCTGCGCTTGGAGTTATTCATATTGGACACAGGATGATGCATGGTTATTCATTTACTCCTGAAATAAAAAGAATGGCATGTTTACAGAACATATATGTAAAATTTAATTCACAAAAGTACACAAACCTAACCAACCCAGTGTTTTCAGTATTTATCGAATAATGCTTGTAAAACCATTCCTAGTGTTTTAACAATGATGACCTTGACATCTGGCTTTAAAGTTCACATTTGTTGGGTTACAAATGTTGGGTGATCGGGCCTAAACTATTTCATAGGACATTGCCCAGTTGTGAATATATTTATGTCAGAACCGAATAAGGATCATGACATTCAGCCTTTCCAGTAAAATCGTATATTTTAATTTGAGAAAAATAAGAGCATCTTTTGGGGGTATAATCAATTTCAGTACATTTTACGTACACATACACATTTTTTTCAGTTTGATGACGTTATACTTGATGACGTCAAACTGAATACTGATTTAGTTCAAAGAGGATACATGTTCATCATGCAATGAGCAGTGATGTAGGTCTCTAGACCGGTCTCCGACTCGAGATCAGTCTCAAGACCACTTGTTTCTGGTAACAGTGGTCTTGGTCTCTGTCTCGTACCCTTTAGTCTCGATATTTTGGCGGGTCTCAACATGCTCAAGTCAAGACCAGCAATACAATGTATGCAGCATTTACTGCTCAAATGAGGAATACTCTGGTGCTTTACATCAGCGCATTTTTGTGGCGTCTGGGGTGAAAACACAATCAATTTGTCACGGAGAGAGCATGGCATAATAACGAAGTCTTATATAGCATACGTATCTACCAACAATTAGGTACTCAAGGCGCTGATAATTATGTTGTTTTTTTAAGACAGGTTAAGGAAGTTTATGAAAAATATGAGACCCATTATGTCGCACCTTTATAAGGGTTTACAAGGTGCTGCGGCGCATATTGCAGCCACTGACTGGGGACCTACATCCCATCCGAAGGATGAAGCAATAATGGTAAAGTGCCTTGCTCAAGAGTATAAGCACCATGTTCCCTGTCAGGATTCAAACCCATGTACCACGGAACACGAGTCAAACACTGTAACCATTTGACCACAGCAGCCCACGGCATGAGTTACGAAATCACGATGTTTTTCAAAGATAAAATGTTACAATCTTATCCAGTCAAACTTACCACATTTCATATTAAACTGAACAAATTGAAAAGAAAAAGATTCTTGTTCAGAAGGTGTGGACGTAATAATTACAATGAACGTGAAAACATCTTATACCGGTACACGTTGGAAATAACAACACCAAGTACATGATATCAATCTAGTTCTTGCTAATTGCGGTATTGAATCAGGATATGGGAAGGATATGGGAATTTTCAAACCAGGCTTTACTAATGGAAACGAGGTTGGAAATAAAGTAAGCCCTGGGGACAAGGTTGCGTTGGTAGTTAAAACATTTGCTAGCCCGTACATTATGTTGTCAACCTTTTTAATAAATCGTTATATTGTGTTTGGTGCAGACTGCACATTGGAAAGTCTCCAAAGTACATGTACACAGCAATACACTTCGTGCAGCAAATAATTTTGATCCGGTGTCAACGCGTGTACATTAACTTGGAATGGATAAGATTGTAACATTTTATCTATGAAAAACATTGTGTTTTTGTAACTCTGGTGCAGACATCCTCTTAAAGCTTACATTTCTAAAATGTAACCACTTCTTGCTCAAGTAAGCTACATGTACTTGAAAATTGACGTATCCTTCGTAAATAAAAATACTGCAAGTGAGACTTGCGCGATCCCTCTGGCATGTTGGCAGTTTTTATACAGTCAGTTAGAATGGATACTAGTCAGTGTCGCAAACCAAAATTGAAGATTTCTACTGTCTTAGTGATAGTGACCTTGACCTCTGACCTGTCGGCCCCAAAAGCAATCTAGGCTTCTGAAGACTAACAAGAACAACCCACAAACCAAATTTCAAGTTCCCAAGTAAAGTATTTCTCACGTTATCGCGTTGAAATGATTTCTATTGTTTTAACAATTGAGTGACCTTGACCCTTGATCTGTTGGCCCCAAAAGCAATAGGCTTCTTAAGACTATCAAGAACAATCCATAAACCATATTTCAAGTTCCTGAGTAAAGTATTTCTCAAATTATCGTGCTGACAATAATTAACCTACGTGTGTAAGGTGAAATTAAAAAACATTTATATGTTTAGCGTCCCCACCCGCTTCCCTTTTGGAGGCAGCCTCCTTTTTGTTTTTAATTGGAAAACAAAAAACAAAAACGAAGAAATTATAAATTTAAGGATCTTTTTCGTAAAAAAAAAGTCGTACTTTTAGACTCTAAAAGCTAGTATGTCATTTCCTGAGTCCAAGTGGCAGCCATTTTTTAACAAAAGGTGGCGGCCATCTTGAAAAATAGCCCAGCCGGTCGTTTTGGAAAATGGGTCGGGCGGCCATTTTGCACACAAAAAAGGGCCTCTTCCTTCCTTTTTTTCCAAAAATGCAGGACGCTAAACATGTTTTTTTAATATAAGTTTGGCCTAACCAAAACATAACACTCATACAGACACGCACGTTTGTTTATGGTGTAAATCGAGGATTTTCTTTTGTTCCTCTTCCCTTTTCCTTTGTTTGCACTTCACTTTTTCGCAACAGCTCTAATTGGTTTTGTACACGTTTTCTAACTGAGGAGTCCTCGATTTGGTTTCTGTCCTCGATTCATCGATGATGTTGCACGTGTGTGTCCTTAATTTACACAATAAACAACGCACCACTACAAGTGTATATTTGCCTGCAATCGGGGACCCCCTATAGTCCTCTATTGAATGCACAAACAAACTCAGACATACAAATCTACAGACACACAGAAGGAATACGCTATCGCAATATCCTCCTCCAGTTACAGCTAGGGGGACAAAAAGGTTACAAACTTTATCTAGCTAACTGGTTTACCTACTCAGAAAATGCGATATAAATTTGTTTACAACTACCATGAATTTGTTTACTAATTTGTTTACTTCTGCGTTGATTATACCAAGTAAATTCTAATGTTTTTGGTGAATCATAAAAGAAATGACATATACCGGTAGTGTAAATACTACAAAGTAAAAGTGGTCTTAGATCTGGAGGAAAAAAAGTATTGTGACCATACATGACATCTATATGTTGGAAATAGTTCTTACACTATAAAATGAAGAAAACATATCTGTCACCATTTTTAAGTCACATGGCAGTTCCAATTTGTTTACAAATGAGGAATTTATGTCCGTTTCTATGGCAACCATCTTCTACCAAGATAGACTTTAGCAAATTCATGACATCTTAGTATTGGAAATATAAGTGTTACACCATGAGTTAAAGAAAACAGAACCTTTGCAGCATTTCAATGTTCCAAGATAGAGCGATTTAGTTTTATTTACAACTTTGTTTACCGTATTATTGATTAGTAAACAACTTCTTATGCAAATAACTTTGACCGGTAAGCACTATTACTTTCGGCTTTTCACTCGGAATACATCAGCAGTTGTCTGTCGACTAAATGTAACACAAACTATAATATTGGAACAATCTAATTGTATAATTGAACTCATTCTCGCAAAAGTAATTAGTCAGGTTTCCATGACAACCATCACTGTAAACAATATATATAATATTGAGTTCTGTATCCGACACGCAAGGTAAATATGATTACATGTCAATGGAAAAAGAACGAACACAAATAAATGAAGAGTTAGGATTATCAACAAATCAATTTGTTTACCATTTTGTTTACTACTGCAAAATTGGCTTGACAGTCAATTGTCCACCAATTATTTACGATGATTGCCATTAAGAAAATCAACGAAAAAGACCCTAATTAAATTTTTTTAAATGGTCATATCTATGCAACGCATTGACCAAACTAGTGCAGGGCCCATTGCTGCTCATTCAAACAACGCACATTACATGTTGCTAGCCGTTCACAGGTTGAACGCACATTTATAGGTTAAACGCGCACTTTGTAGACGTCGCCATCCCCTGGCACTGATATTTACCAATACTGGATTATGGTATCATCCTACAGTAAAGGTTGCACAGTCAGTCGCCTACAGTAATGGTTGCTCAGTCGACGACAAAATGCGTATACCCGTGCAGATTCTCACGTCCTCGTACGCGTACAACCGTGCTGTGCCGTCTAAAATGTACTTGTTTGGGAAGCGCAAATTGCTTTGCCGCAGGTATTGGTTGCATGCTTGCAGAGTTTTTGAGAAGTGCTCGTGCAAACAACGCACGCGATTCAATGGTGTTGTTTTCACAGGTTGAACGCACACTCACGTCAACGTTTGTGCCAAGTTTGAAATTGTTTGGGCGAGTGTTTCTCAAAAAGGCAGCAAAAAAAAAAAAAACAGCGCAGATATTACTCTCCCTTAATGGACAATGGTATCGTCCTGCAGTAAGGTCGCTCAGTCGACTGCAAAAATAATGTGCCCGTGCAGCCACCACGTACCGGTAGGTGTACAAACGGTAACATGGTACGCAATGCTATACATTCACCCATACTGGACAATAGTATCGCCGTACAATGCCCGTGCGCGTGCCATAGAGTTATGGCGCATGTCCGTGTCTTGTTTGCATTGTTTGCGTCATATTGAGCACGCTTTCTGTTCAGTATACTCTTTATCCAGATACCTCAATTTCAAAATTCCCATTTCTGTCCCTACATTTATTTGACACTCTCCGAAATGAGGATTTATGCCTATGCGTTGTGGGGCGCTTGTACGACTGACCACATCCCAAATGTCAAAAAAAAGGAGTTCTAGCAGTTAGTGGGTCTAGGCCTTAATCTGCCTACTGTTAACATTTATATCCTTGAGTCACCATAACTGACGCAGATAACGCTTGCAACGCGCGCGCGTTGTCCAACGCAAATTGAATGCGAATGCGTCAAAACATATCCTCGTTTTAGGTGGACACTTAGTATAAGAAACATGTGCTACTTTTTTGACTTTCCACATTTTTATGTGGGTGAGTGCTCATTCAGATGTGACTTTCGAGGGCCCAATTTCACGGTGCTGGTAAGCACACACCGTGAAATAGTGCTTCAGGTTAGCAAATTTTTCTGCTATGCTAAACACAACTTTTCTACTAACTGTTAAGCAGCACCGTGAAATTGGGCCCAGGTTGCAAGGTGAGTGCTGGTCGCGTCGGCACGCACGCACCGCGCTAGGCCTACTCAAAGTGCACGTATCGCATTCCGCGCAATTTAGTTTGCGCACGCGCAAAAATGGCGGACGTACACGCACCTACACGCGCCTCATTATCGGATTATGAATATTCATTTATCAAAACATGCAGTTACTCACCAATTAAACTACCCTATATCAGTGACGACATGGCCTCTGGCGGTTTATAAGCACCCCAGTTGGCAAGGTGGCTTCATCAACATGATAAAAAAATTTTTAATTATGAAAATATCAGCTTGCAAAATCATTTTATGAAAGTTTGAATTTTAGTATAATTTTGCACGAAAAATTGAACTTTTTTCTGATATCTCATCAAATTTGGGCATTTTTTTTAAATCCGGATTTTTTAGGGAATTCTCACTTCTTAAATGTAGTGAACGAGGGTGTATACTTCATTGTTTTCCATACGGGAAAGCAGCTAATATTTTTTTTAATCGTCAAAATTTGTCCTTGAATATCGCATTTTTGGCGACATTTTGACTCAAAAACGCACGTGACTCGCGTTGAGCATCAAGAAATGCACACTGGGAAGTGGCTGAATGAGTACAAAATGCTGAATCTTTCAGGAAATAGAGGATTTTGTACTTCTATTATGTCTTGTGGAAGTCAAGAAACCTCGGATCTGCCCATTCTAAACCATGTACAACGACATGTCATGACTTGCATGCAAACCGATACTCGTGGGAAGAAATTTGACACCGTACGGACCACGCGGTGAAGTCGCCAGGCATCACAGGCACCGTGCAGTCTGCAACAGCGTGCCGGGAGTTGGAGCTCGCGCCCCCACAACATACATCGCTTGTGACTGACTGGTGGTTATACCGTCGCTTTGGAGTCAAGTTTTGAGAGCTATACGGGTAAAAGGGGGTTTGGTTCTGTTCAGTAAAATATGGAAACTGATTCAATTGCAAGTTGCCTTTTGGAAATTGGAGACTAAGAAGTAGAAGTTAGCATAATTCATGTAATTCCAACGGCCATGACGGCAACGCTACTAAGTTTTATTTTTTTTAAATAAATTTAAAGGCCAGAAAAAAAAGGGGGGGGGAGCTCAATGAATTAATTTTTTGTTGTGGAAATCGTTGAAAGTTAATAGTTCTGTGGTATTTTTTTAAAAACCTAGGCCTACATGATTTTTACACACAACTTTACAGACAAAATATACAAATTAATTCATGTTTTAGACCAAGTCGTTTTTCACTGAAAAAAAAGAATAATATTGAAATTTTTCAAAGGTAAGAATGGAAAGAGACTAAGCAAATAATTGTAAATGTTCGTACACGAGGCCCAAAAAATATAAGGTTCCTTTCTTCGATGCCAAACTCAAATTAGTCAATTTGTTTCTAATATCTATTATTTATTATGTTACGTTTTGAAATATTTGTACGTTTTTTTAGCTGTACATGGAGATGCTTTGAGTGTCGTCCGGGGACTGTCGTTCCTTCTGAGGATGATGCAGACTTCTACAAGGAATCCACAATCAATCTACAATCAATCTACAATCTATGAGATGACATGATGAAGGACACTATGAAGAAAAGAACTAGGCCTATGACAAGACTTTACAAAAAATTAATTCAAAATAACCCTTTTATATAATTGAAATATATTTTAAACTTTTTCCTATTGTAATCATAATAAAGACCTTTATAAATTAAAATAAAATGTAAATTTTAACAAACCGAATCAGAGAAAAGGTCAAATTAATGTCACTAAAGAAATTAAACATTAAATGCTGACAACGGCATACTATCAATGCAAACAATTTGACTGTTGTTTCTGAACAGTACAAAAGAAATTTATTGAGACATACAAAATATCTCCTGATTGACGTGATATTGCAGTATAGTGAACTATAATTGTAGGGTTTAGGGGGAACAAGTCTTGGGTCTAGCCTCTTCAAATGCTGGCATTGGTGAATAATTTAAAGATTGTAGTAAGAGTTTAATATTAAATTCTAGTGATTTACTAATAAGGGTAGGAGATTCATGAACCATGCCCAAAAAGGCAAAATACTCAAACAGGAGAGCGTTTGAAACTGAAAATTGCAATGGTGGACAAGGTTTGGCTAAATATAAAGAAGGGGAAAATGGCAAATTTTACTGAAATAATGGTAGCAATTAAAATATAAAGCTTATAATCTAATATAGTCGTGTTCCCTAACGTGGCGCACTTCAAAGCCTACCCGAATTTTCTCGTGTTGTGTTGCCAAACCTCTTTGTTGACAAACCTCAAATTCATGCAGTAAAATACTGGTTATTTTACCTTATTAATGCATGTTATTTAACCTCTGTGAACAATTTTGGTTTCATAAAATTTAATCCGAAATTAAAAAACGGTGGCGTCCGGAAATTGGGCACAAATTCGCAGGGTGTTCCCTAACGGCGCACTTAAATAAATCTCGGAAAATTCCAAATTAACATTTAAGAATTTCCGTTAACTTGATAAATTCTGATAAATCATTATTATCTCTACTTACATACCCAGCCGGATGTTTGTCAGAAAATTATTTTCTTATTTTTCGGGGCATTTTCAAAAGGTTCACTTTTGCACTTGAAAATAAAATCGGAAAATCAAGCCAAAATACATTTTTCTTCTAACTTTGTAACGGGTAAATAAACTCGCGATTTATGAACAGGAATGTTTAGAACTTGATGAAAATTTCAGTTAAAACTTTTGCTCCAGCTAGGCGCTACAGGTGAAAAATCAAAGTGCGCCACGTTGGGGGCCGCGCCACATGACATTAGGGTACATCAACAATACTAACTATTTGTACTTCCCAATTGGAATGGATTATCTTGTGATTTAAAAGTCCCCCAGCAATAAACAAGATTCTCACGGAATGGGTTAAACACTCGTCAATCTGCCTATACCTTTGCACGCAGGTAAGTTCCCTATACAATTACACGTAAAACATGGCATGGAAAGCGTGAAATACGCGAACGAGATAAAGCTATCTTTCATTGCAAAAAAAATTAGTTCGGTTCTCGCAAAATTGAAAAATTACAATAATTCATGAAGTAATCCGAGTATTATAATAGCCAAGGGAAAATCGCCAAAAAAATCTGGATTAAGAGAGATAAAGCAGAATTCTGGGGCTCGTTTTTTGCGCGCGCGAAGTTCATGCGCGTTTTGCAAGTGCATAGAGACGTCACAAACGCATGCGTAATGCGTCTTCTTGCGTGGTTTTGGATTACAATTATAATAATTTATGTGCGCATGCTCAACTAAGTTCCCGAGGGTGTCAATGTCAATCATAAAAATTTCATTAAAGCCCGAGTCCATCATTTGCAGCTATCCAAAAAAAGTAACTGGCGTAATTATTGTTGAAAAACATACTGGTTGAAAGATAGTAAGGGGACTAAACTCCCTGTGAAATTATCCTTTCTGGCAAGCTCTCATTTTGAAGAAATCAACGAAAGAAGGCATTTCCAACGGTGCTTCTTAAGAAGCACCGTAGGAAAATTTAAATTAGTTGTTCGTTTTGTTATTCGGCGCAGCGCGCACAAGCATTGGAATGACGCACAGGCGCGCGCGGTTGCTATAATTCGTCGGATCAGTGTGCGACATCGCGTAAAGCTGCAATTCAAAACAATTCGAAACATGATTTAGCAACTTTTGATTTTAAATTGAGATCCTAGAATGCTGTTTTTCTCGGAATATGAAGCTGAAGCTGAGCTGAAACTTCATCAAGTAAGTTGTTCAGTATCCTTCATTAGATTTTGAACACTTTGCTTCAAAGTTCAAACGAACAAAATGCACTAATTACAAATGATGGACTATAACTTTAACGTACGTGAGTGAAAGGTGAGCATGGTGAGTGCGTCATTACATAAGTGCGTCGTTTTAGCTGCCCGGATGATATTTAAGCGCTGGTTCAAAATCCCTGAAATGTTTTATTTGTTACACGACTTGGTGAAATTTACAAGAAGTTTGCTAACCGATATGCACTCACCAGCGGCTAAGGACACTCCAGCTGATCCACTGAAAAATGAAGGAGGCGTAGTTTTTGCCAAAGGTCATGATTAGGGTGACCATAAGGTCATGACCAAATTCTGCTAAATGCTATTCAAAAATCTGTCAAATTCATCAAAGATCTGCCAAATACACCCTTAAAATCTCTGGCTACGAGGTTGGAATCACTGGAAAAGAAACAATTCAAGCCCATTGCCATGCAGCTACGCGGATACTGAGTGGGGGTCCATTATTTTTATTGCCCATCGGGCTAACTGCTTTTAGGAAACCCTTTTCCTCCGATGTTTAGGGTTTTTTGGGGTTTTTGAAGCGTAAATTCCAGTCCATGTCCATTTTTTATTTGTGGACATGATTTGTGCCAGTTTATCGGTATTTTTTTTTTAATTTTGCTTTTTTTTTTTTGGAAGATAGGGATTTTGAGTGTGATTGGCCATTTCCACTCTCCTTTAGGCGCTCCATTATAATAGCCTAGTAGCCATCCTTTGCGAGTGTAAGATTTTGTGAGTGTAATTCACTTCCTTGTACAAGTTCCCTAGTTTGACTGGAACTTGAACATCAAATAAGGCCTTTGAATGTGCAATTTTTTTCTCCTTTTTTTTCTAATAATTTTTTTTTCTATCTCCAGACGGTAGGGTTTATGTGTTTATTGCAAGTATTCGGTGCATGTTGAATTTCTCCCTTTTTAATACATGTTCCTCCCACATTGCCATTTTTTATAGCTTTGTCCCCCTCCAGATGGTGGAACTTTCCCTTTTTACCTTGCCAGGCCCTTTCAGGGTTTCCCCCCTGTTCCTACGCCTGAGTCCTAGGTCCCCCCTTCTTTCTTTTTACTACTGCTACATTGGTGTATGTACATGTATGTGTGCTGAATTTGTCCACTGATGTCTGACGTTTTCTGTGTGATAATGAACAAATGTAGATGTTTTTATTTATAAATAAATGTAATTTCTTAATGTTCTTATTGTATCACTGATGTGAATAACAATACAGGTATTTCAATATAAGCAACACAAAAGGAATGGGAGTTGCCGGACAAATCCCAAGTCCAAACCAACTACCCTGTTGGCGGCTACGCGGATACGGAGTGGGACCGGGAGTGCAGTGGAGCATGACGCATAGTACATAGCTCCATGGTACATACAAGTAGCGCTGAGAAGGTTTATTGAGGGCAATCAAACGTGACTCCGTAGCCGGCTACGAGGTGGATAGATTAAGAGGCGGGGTATTCTGCAATTGTGCCTCAAAGGAGGAGTCATTATTAACAAACTCTACATAAAGATGTTATGAAATTGAGTAAATTTAGGAAAAACGCGGTTGCGTCACGACAAAATACAGTTCCCACTTCCCAGTGAACCTCACCTCAGCACCTACACCAGCCAACCTCCCATTATGCAAGGATTTGTTTAAAAAGATTGAAGCTTTTTAATCAAATGTACCATTTTTCTTCAAATATGCTATGTTTTTCTGTCAAATATCCATTTTTGCAGAATTCTGCCAGAAATCTGCCAAAAAAAATCCATTCTGTTAAATTTTCTGTCAAACTCGTTTCTTAACAAAAAAATCTGTCAAAGTTAGCAGAACATCAGCTAAAACGGTCATCCAGGTGATGATGGTTAAGGGCGCCTCCAGCGTTGGATAGGCAGATTTCGCCCAACCTCGTCCCCAGAGTGTCGAGCAGTTCGCGCCCACCACTACCTGCTCTCTCATGGAAACGCGGTTGGAAATAAAGTAAGCACTGGGGACGAGGTTGGATTTCGCCCTTCGCTCGTACCCTAGTCTGGTTCCCCGACCTGACAATTTTCCCCGACGTCTACACGTCTAAATTGTAGGTCAGGCAGCCTCCGTGGCTAAAAATAAACATGACGACATTGACGGCCCTTTTTCAAAGCTCGACTTCGTTTCCGAATTCGCTTAATCACATAAAGCTTTTAATGTTCCGATAATTTTTTTAAAAATAAATCACTTGCTTCATATATCATACAGTTATGATATACAGTTTAATACTTCTGTAAAAAAACACTGACTAATTTTAACCTGGAATCTTCAAAGTTGGACACCCAAACAGCACTGTTAGCAGGCGGAGCCGAATTGAGACCACGCCGCGTTTTGGAAAATGCCGGTAACGGTCGTCAAATTCAAACTAGCGCATGACGCAGCAAAAAGTTCGCCCCTCGTATACGATCCGAGTGCAAAATCGTCGTTGAATTTCAAGTTTTCTAAATAAAAGCAATGGATATTAATTATCAACTAGTTTTTTAAAGTTTTTAATAAGCAATTAGCAGTTAATAAAACCTATATTATACTCGGAAATACTCGGACACTATCCAATTGTCGACGAAATGAATTCGGCAAACTTCGGACAGTTTCGGAAAAAGGAGGAATTCCTCCCGTTTTAGTCACGTGATGTAAATTGTAATACATTGTATTACCGGAGGCTACCCAACCTCGTTCCCAGGGTGTCGAGCAGTACGCGCCCACCAAACGCGGTTGGAAATAAAGTAAGCACTGGGGACGAGGTTTGAGGCTACCTGACCTAAGATTCATCAGGAATAGTCGGAATCTTTTGGTCTGGAACCAGACTACTCGTACCCGTACCAATCAGGACGCTGGCGGGATACATTGGCCAAGTTCGCGCAAGGACTATTATACAAATATTGAATGCTTCGAGTGGTGTAGTAAAACTAGCCTCCCGAGGTGATCATGGACCATTCTATTTTCCCGAGGCGAAGCCGAGGGAAAATAGAATGGTCCATGGATCACCGAGGGAGGCTAGTTTTACTTCACCACGAGATAAAGCATTCAATATTTGTTTTACAACACTTCACCCACAGATTCTGCTTGATTTTAATATTTTAAATTATTTAAATCTGAACACAGTTGAAATAAACTTCAATTTCAATACAAAATTGGTGGAAAATGTATTTCTCTCTTAAAAACTACCCCTTCACGAACTGTTTGAACCCAAGTCTGCGGCGCGCTCTCTTTGGAACAATACGCGCTACGCACAACGCGCAACGCGCGCACCAGCATGCATTTGCACACAAATACCGCGCCGTGGAAATAGTACTTTGGTTGCTAATGGTATAGTACTTTGGTTGCTATGCGCATAGTACTTTTGGCCGTGCACAGAAAGATAGCAAAATTAGAAAGTAACATGTGACTCACTCTCGGCCAATCCAGACACAGAATCTGTGGGTGAGGTGTTATAAAGTTGACCAATGGTTAACTAACGTTTGCACGAACTCTGTCTAGTCGACGATGGTTGACTACGCTAGTCGACTATTTGGAATTATAACACCTCACCCACAGATTCTGTGTCTGGATTGGCCGAGAGCGAGTCACATGTTACTTTCTAATTTTGCTATCTTTCTGTGCACGGCCAAAAGTACTATGCGCATAGCAACCAAAGTACTATACCATTAGCAACCAAAGTACTATTTCCACGGCGCGGTATTTGTGTGCAAATGGATGCTGGTGTGCGCGTTGCGCGTCGCACGCAGCGCGTTTTGTTCCAAAAGAGAGCGCGCCACAGAGTTGGGTTCAAACATTTCGCGAAGGGGTAGTTTGGAAGAGAGAAATACATTTTCCACCAATTTTGTATTGAAATTGAAGTTTATTTCAACTGTGTTCAGATTTAAATAATTTAAAATATTATAACCAAGCAGAATCTGTGGGTGAAGTGTTATAAAACAAATATTGAATGCTTTATCTCGTGGTAAAGTAAAACTAGCCTCCCTCGGTGATCCATGGAGCATTCTAAAAATAGAATGTCCATGGATCACCTCGGGAGGCTAGTTTTACTACACCACTCGAAGCATTCAATATGGGGTTGGTTGCTTCGCTGGTGACTAATAGCCGCGCGCATCTATATCGCTAGCAGAGAGCCAGGATCCACAAGTTTTGCGATGACATTTCGAATGCTTTATCTCGTGGTAAAGTAAAACTAGCCTCCCTCGGTGATCCATGGAGCATTCTAAAAATAGAATGTCCATGGATCACCTCGGGAGGCTAGTTTTACTACACCACTCGAAGCATTCAATATGGGGTTGGTTGCTTCGCTGGTGACTAATAGCCGCGCGCATCTATATCGCTAGCAGAGAGCCAGGATCCACAAGTTTTGCGATGACATTTTGAATGCTTTATCTCGTGGTAAAGTAAAACTAGCTTCCCTCGGTGATCCATGGAGCATTCTAAAAATAGAATGTCCATGGATCACCTCGGGAGGCTAGTTTTACTACACCACTCGAAGCATTCAATATGGGGTTGGTTGCTTCGCTGGTGACCAATAGCCGCGCGCATCTATATCGCTAGCAGAGAGCCAGGATCCAGAAGTTTTGCGATGACATTTTGACCAGCGTTTGATTGACTAGAGACGTTCGCACGTTGCTATTAGTGCGCAGGCGTAAGGTACGTCACAAATCAACCACTAGTCGACTAATATAATATAATGGTCCTTGCCCGAACTTGGCCTCCGAGTGAAGGAAGTGGCCTATGACCTGTGTATAAAGCATCTGGCTGCAGCTGTTCAAGACCGCAGTTAGACAATGTGCGCAAATGCTATCCGAAAACTCACCATAGAATTGCGCACATTCCATACCGGATGTGATTTCTGTTTCATTGCGGACCATGTGGACAAAATTTTGAGCGTCGCAATGCAATCCAACCGTTCGTGATTCGAAACGGAACCTGAGCGAGTGACGGGAATTGTAAATATACAACACAGTTAAGTTTTACAGAATTTCCTACATTATTACGCTTTTCAACGAGAAAAAAACATCTTTAAACTGGAATAAAAGAGTATGAATCAGTCTTAACAGCCGTTTTCAAACCTTGCAGAGTAATAACCTTGATATGACGCGCAGGTCACTGGTCACGCCAAATCCAACCAAACAGAGCGTGAATTCATCAGAGTATCCCAGCGTCCTGTTTGCAGGGCGGGGGGTACGAGCGAAGTACTAGTGTACGGGAACCAGGGGCGTAGCACGGTCATTTTTTTTGGGGGGGGGGGTAAATTTTTTTTGAAAAGGGCACTTGCACATCCGTTGTGAAATGTAGACAGGTTTTTTGTCTCCGGACACTTGGCCTCCGTAAAATC